AGTGGTGGAACAGTTACATCTAAAAACTCCTTTCCAAGTGGAGCAGGTGGTTCATATTCAGGAGGATCTGGTGGTGGATATAGCAGTGGTGCCAGTAGTTCTGGAGGAAGCTACAAAGCCAGGAAGTCATTGCTTGTGTGTGAGCATTGTGGGTGCAAAGGTCATTCTAGGGAACAGTGTTATAAGATTGTTGGATATCCTGTAGATTTCAAATCTAAAAAGAAGCCAAATGTGTATGTTAATCAAGCTACTGCTTCAGAAGAGAGTGGAAATAACTCATGTCAATCAGGAGTTGGTGCAGGATCAAATAGTGGTGCATTCTTCACTTCAGATCAATACCAGCAGATATTACAACTACTCACAAAGTCTGGAGGAGACAAGGTAGGAGAGTCCTCTGCAAACATTACAACTGTTGCAAATGCAGGTAGCTCTCTTACAACTTTATCTTGTAGTAGTAGGTGTAGCAGTAAATGGATTATTGATACAGGAGCCTCTCATCATATTACATCTAACGTGGACCTTGTTGACAAAGCAACGAAGACACATTCTCATACAGATAATAAAGTACACCTACCAAATGGAAAAAATGCATCAGTATCCCATGTTGGAAGGTCTTATGTATTCACAAACAACTCCATATCTAATGTTCTCTTTATCCCTGAGTTCAAATGCAACTTGTTGTCAGTTTCAAAACTCACCAAAGAATTACATTGTATGGTAGCATTCTTTCCTGATTTTTGCATTTTCCAGGACCTCTCCACTGGTCAGGTGAAGGGGATTGGTAAAGAAAAGCATGGCCTTTACATTCTTCATGAAGAATCAAGTCACAAGTCTAGTTCACAGCAGTTAGTTAACACCACTAGTGTATCTCCTGTATCTGATCAGTCTGTTTCTAGTGATGTTTGGCATAGGAGATTAGGACATGCTCCGATTGATGTAATAAGGAGGCATGAGTCTCTCAAATCCCTAAACTTCACAGATTGTTCTCATTGCACTGTGTGCCCTGTAGCTAAACAATCTAAACTTCCATTCCCTTTAAGTGTTCATAACACTACTGCTGTATTTGAATTGATTCATTGTGATCTGTGGGGACCTTATAAAGTTCCTACTCACAATGGAAAGAAGTATTTTGTTACTATTGTAGATGACTTCAGCAGATATACATGGGTTTTTTTGATTGCTTCAAAAGCTGATTCAATAGTTGTTATACAAAATTTTCTTACAAGAGTTCAAAACTTATTTTCCACAAGTGTTAAAACATTCAGGTCTGATAATGGTTGTGAGTTTCTCAGCACTGCATTTCAAACTCTATTGAGTAACATGGGCATTCTACATCAGACTACTTGTGTGTATACCCCACAGCAAAATGGGGTTGCTGAAAGAAAGCACAGAACCATTCTTGATATGGCCAGAGCTTTACGGTTTCAAGCTTCTATACCTTTGAGATTCTGGGGGGAATGTGTTCTCACTGCTGTGTATATTTTAAACAGAATCCCTACAAAATTACTAGACTACAAATCCTCCTTTGAAAAATTGTACAGGCATCCTCCAGACTTGGCTCATCTCAAGGTGTTTGGGTGTTTGTGCTATGCTGCAAGTCCTCAGAAACCTGATAAGTTTTCTGCAAGAGTTGTTCCTACTGTGTTTATGGGATACTCCTCCACACAAAAGGGCTATATTCTTTATGATATTCATGCACAAATGTTCTCTGTAAATAGGCATGTGGTGTTTCAAGAAGATTTGTTTCCTTACAAACATTTCCAAGCCTCACCTAATGCTATGTTTCCAATTATGGACTATGTCTCTCCTGTCCCACCTCCTGTGGTTTCATCTCCACATTCTTCCTCTGTTGATTGTGCTAGACCAGCCTCACCTGAGTCTACTGGTGTGCTCCCTCCAGTTACTGAGGTGCTTCCTCCAGCTCCTGAGGTGCTTCCTAGAAGGTCATCAAGGTCCACCAAGCCCCCTCTATGGCTGCAGGACTTTGTTTCTAAGCCTAAGTCTACTGCATGTTCTTATTCACTAGCAGATCACCTGTCTTACAATCACTTGTCTTCGACATATAGAATGGCCTTGAGTGCTTACTCAGCTGTTTCTGAACCGAGTTCATTTAAGGATGCTGCTACTGATCCTAAATGGAGACAGGCTATGCAAGCAGAGATTGATGCTCTGGACAGCAATCAGACTTGGAGCATAGTGGATCTACCACCTGGCAAGAGGCCTATTAGCTGCAAATGGATATATAAAATTAAGTACTTAGCTTCTGGGGAGGTTGAAAGGTACAAGGCCAGACTTGTGGCTCGAGGTTTTAGTCAACAAGAAGGGCTTGATTATGGTGAGACTTTTAGTCCTGTGGCAAAGATGGTGACTGTCCTGTCTATGGTTGCTTTGGCTGCTTCCAAAGGATGGTTTATATATCAGATGGATGTCCACAATGCTTTCTTGAATGGTGATTTGCATGAAGAGGTCTACATGGACATTCCCTGTGGTTTTGCTAGACAGGGGGAGAGTCACAAGGTCTGCAAACTCCACAAGTCATTGTATGGCTTGAAACAAGCACCTCCACAATGGAACATGAAGTTAACTGATGCACTAGTCTAGATGGGGTTCAAACAAAGTCATTATGACTACTCTCTATTCACAAAGCAAAGTGGGGATGATATTGTAGTGATATTGGTGTATGTAGATGATATTCTAGTCACTGGAAGCAACCACCAACTCCTATGTAATACAAGACAGGAAATTCAAAAGAAGTTCAAAATGAAGGACCTAGGGGAATTAAAATTCTTCTTAGGCATTGAGTTTTCTAGATCAGACAAGGGCATCCTGATGACATAGAGGAAATATGCTTTGGAACCGTTGTCTGAAACTGGACTAGGAGGAGCAAAGCCAGTTCATACACCTTTGGAGCTGAACAAAAGACTCACATCAATTCAATATGATGAGCATGTGAATGGTTCAAGTCCTGACCATGATAAACCACTTGCTAATCCTGAAATGTATCAAAAGTTGGTAGGAAAACTTCTTTATTTGACTATGACTAGGCCGGATCTTGCTTTTACTGCACAAGTTCTTAGCCAGTTCATGCATTGTCCTAAGGAGTCACATATGGAGGCAGCATTAAGAGCAGTAAAATACATCAAAGAAACACCTGGTCTAGGATTACTAATGCCAGCAGAACAAACTATACAGCTAACAGCTTACTGCGACTCTGACTGGGGGGCATGTCTTGAAACAAGAAAATCAGTTACAGGGTATTTAGTGAAGTTTGGAGGAGGATTAATATCATGGAAGTCTAAGAAGCAAGGGACTGTGTCAAGAAGCTCAGCTGAGGCAGAATTCAGGAGCATGGCCACATGTGCAGCTGAATAACTTGGTTGATAGGCTTATACAAGAGTTGGGAGTCAATATAACAGTACCAGTAAAAATGGTATGTGATAGCAAAGCAGCAATACAAATAGCAGCTAATCCTATCTTCCATGAGCGTACAAAACACATAGACATAGACTGTCACTTTGTAAAAGAAAGAATTTGTCAAGGAGTTCTGAAGACAGAATATATTAACACCAAGAATCAACTTGCTGATCTACTCACAAAGAGTCTTGGACAAGTACAACACCATCTACTACTAAGCAATCTTGGAATGAAAATATATTTCAACCATAAGCTTGAGGGGGAGTGTTAGCAAATGCAGAAATAACAAAGCTTATGTTAGTTAGAAGATTCCAAGAGTTAGTTACTAGCTGATGACATGGCAATAGTTAGTTACAAAGTTTGTTAGAGATATTTTGTATTCATTCATAGTAAGAGTAGTATATATAAGCATGTATGTACAGATTCACTGAATCAAGACATTAATACAATCTTCTTCCTTCTTCTTCTCTCAAATGCTCTGTGAATTCTCCAAGGATTAATCTTCATTCATGGAGTTATCAATAGTAATCCCGTGAAATTAGTTGAGATGCGTGCAAGTTGGTGCGGACACCACAGTTATCAAAAAAAAAAAAAAACTCAAACCCATGTCAAAAGAAATACACTCAAAAACATGCACAATCAACCCCAAAATTCAGCATAAACTATTTGAAACTGTTCCAAAGTACATTCATATTTAGCCTTTCAAACTGGCTCTTTTTCCGTGGGGATGTCATTCTGCAGTCCATGTTCTTCCCTTTGCCAAGATAAAAGTAACAAACTGTGTACCATCAAACATTTGAACCAGTTACACTTCCAGAATCCATTTCATACAGTAATCAAAGAAAAGATTTGTCTTTGATGTACTAAACAATTATGATATTAGTATGCTGACACAAGGCTTCTTGGGCTGTTAAATGCAGGAAAACCAGCCCATTTCTCATGATATACAGGAAAAACCTTGGGAAATAAAAAGAATACAGGAAAAACATGAGTATAGTCAGCCCAAACAACAAGGATGAAGTGATAGGAATGAGTTGATCTTAGGCATGAAATGGAATACACATGAGTCTTGTCTCGTAAAACTGTTGAAAGTTTTATTGGATTATTGTCACTATTGAGGCTAAAAAACTGAACTGTCAGCTATTTCCAAACCAAACACATGAAACGCCCTGCTACACTCTTCGGTTTCTGCCAAGTTTGTCAACTCCAAAAGTTGTACACAACAAAACTCTTAACAGTGATCTACAGCCTTATTCAATTAGCTAAATAACCAGCCGAGTTTAGCTTAAGCATATCAGCCAAAAAAGATGATCATATTTTGCTTTTCAAGTGTCAACTGTATTGCTCTTCAATTAATTTTTATTCTGAAAATATTTTGCTGAAATATATTCAAATTAAAGATTTTCACCTCATAGTATCTTCTATATGGTTTGTAAAATTCCATTTCCAAAACAATTTACGAAATTCATACGCTCATCTCACACACTTTGACATACTTTTCCCTCAACTGCAGTAGCCCAGCATCAACATTTCAGCAGAACAGTCAAATCCTCAACGACAAACCACACAAAATTACAATTTAGTAAAACTAAGACAATATCAAGGAACAGTTTCCCGCCAAAATTGAATAACAAGTGAGAATTTCAACAAGTTCCCGCCAAAATCCTGATTGTTTCTATTCAAAAAGAGTTATTTCGAAAATGCTTACAATTTTTTTTTCCCATAACATTGAATTAAAACAGATGCTAGTAGGCAAAAAAACGAATACCTCAAGATGTGCCCAGCGGCAGTCAGGATCATAGCCATGTAGAGGAGGTGCTTGATCGGAGACGACAATGAAGCACTGGTTGAGAAGCTTCCGATAATCATCTGGATCGTTTTCCTTAAGAAGAAACGAAATGGCGCCATATTCTCCATCACATCCGAGGCACCGGCGACCCTTGCATTGGCAATTCGTCGATGATTTTAGAGGAATTAGAGATAAGATTGTCGCTCCCAGAGTACGTGCACGGTTGTGAAACAGCCTCCATAGAATCTCTGGAACTCTCCGTTTCTTCATCGCCGGCCGGCGAGGGATCGAACGGAGAAAAAGTGTGTTGAGAAGGAGAGTGTTGTGAGTGAAAACTGAAAAGTTGTAATGACTTTTTAACTTTCTGGAAAATCGCTTCTTTTTTTTTACCCAACGGTAATTGGGGTAAAAGTCAACAGTAAAGAAAATCTGCTTCTTTTTTTAGTTCCCTCTCAATAACTTTGTTTCCCAAAGTTAAAACTTACTTAATTTTTGAATTCACATTTGGTTATACTTGTATTAGTAAAGGTAAAATCAGTTGACCAAGGTTTGGTTATTTATACTATAGTATTTGTTATTGCATTTTCGATTTCGCATCAAATAATATACTATCTGTCTCATTTTGTATAACTTACTTTTAATTTTAGTCCGTTCCAAAAAAAATAACATATTTTTATATTTAGTAATAATTTAACTTTAAATATTCATTTTACGACATGATTTCTAGCCAGATAAATATCTATAACTTATTTAAATCACAAATTTCAAAAAAAACTTTCTTTTTTTCTAAATGAGTTAAATATATGGAGAAAAAAGGAAAACTTTATTAATTAGTTCGTGTGTTTCTCCCAGACTTCTCTAGAATGATCCAAACAGGAAAAGAACTTTAATAGTGATTCATTCACGACATTTATGATATTCCAATTAAAATCAAACTTAAGTAGATTTAAAGAACTTTCCACGTTTATTCTCTCTTTTTATTTATATATATTGGGAATTAAAAAGCCAATTTGCCTACTCAAGTTGACATTCGAGGGGCTTCTATGCAATGAATCTCAGCCACCAAAACAATATGCAAAGTGGTTTTGTATTAGCCTCATGTTTTGTGTTTGTAATAATCTTTATACATTTTTAATTGTTATGTTATGTTTTTTTAAAGTGAAATTAGATTATATTAATTTGATATTCTAAAAAATAAATTGCATTTTTTTGCATATCAATATGATAAAAATTTACATAGTAAAATATTAGTCAAAATTCTTCTTGTTTGACTCTGAAAAAAGAAACTATGACAATTAAAAGTTGACGGATGTAGTAATAAAATTATCAAGTGTGGGATCCTTAACTAGATATGCCACGTGTATCATTAAATAAATTTCAAAATTAACTAATATTCTTTATATTTTAATTTGTTTATTTGACTTTACTTTTGACACAAAGTTTAAGAATTTTTTTTTAAAAAAAAATCCAATTCTAAATTGTGTTATTTGGGGCATGTTTGCATCAGGAATTTTTCGAAATAGTTAACCACTTTTTTTATCATGAGAAAATAGATGTAATTCAGTTTGAACAAAGTGAGAGGGTTGAAAAAAAAGTTCGACCTACACAAAGTGGGAGGTCATTCAAAATCTATTGGCTCCAAAATGGGGCAGCTCCAGAGACACTATCGTACCAATACCGACGTAATTGTCCATCCCACCTAATAAAAAGAGCGTTCTAGACTTCGGAAAGTGCCCTTGAAAAACATGACCGCTGGACTCCCCGAGCCCCTCCTCTTTTTCTTTTTCTTTCCCAAGTGTAATTGTACTTGATACTAATTCGAGTTAATATCTCAAAAGGTCACTCAACTTTGAGAATTTGTCTAGTTAAGTCATTAAACTTTATTTTGTATTAATAAAATCACTCAACTTAGGCATTTATATCAATAAAATCACTAGACTAAATTTGTCAATAAAAAACAAATTTGACATGGCAAAATAATATAAAAATATGAACCTCGCAAATAAATAAAATTAAAAATTTATTAAGAAGTTTTTATGGACAAACTTAATTAGTGAAATAGCTATTATAATATTATTATGTATTTAAATTTTGCAATATATCATGATAGGTGTATGAAAAAAATGAAGAACCGCACACATTTTAATTTTTTTTTTTTTATATCAATAAAATATACTTGTAAATTAGATAAACAATTAATTAGTGTCGTTGTTTTACTGGAGTAACACGTTCAAATTGATCAACATCAAAAAAGAAACTATATCATTAAAAAACATATCTTTTTTTATTTATAATAATTTAATCAAACTTGGCAGTAGCATTATGCGCTTTTACGTAACGCCTACTTAGTTAAAAGAAATTATATCCGTTAAAAAGTTTTAATGGATTTTAAAATTTTATTTATTTGTGAAATTCATATTTACGTGCTATAAAAAGTAAATTATTTTGTCATTTCAAATTTCTTTTATGATGATAAATTTGTTGAGTGATTTTATTGATAGAAATGACTAAGTTGAGTGATTTTATTGATACAAAATAAAATTCAATGACTTTACTAGATAATTTTTCAAAGTTGGGTGATCTTTTGAGATATTAACTCTACTAATTCGAATCTAATGAGCGTTGATTAAGAAGACATAAAATTAGAAGAATATTGATACTCCGAAAATCCTTTTCCCATTTGAAACATTTTATTTTGTACTCATATAAAGTCTCTTTTTATTTTACAAATTTACAAATAAGTAAAACATAATTATACGTTAATTATGTAAGCACAAAAATACCTAACACAAATTACATTAATTAGACAGGTGGGTCCAAAAGGCAAAAACAATAACAACAACAACAACAATAGGAAAAATACCTAAAATACACAATTTACTTTCTCATATTTTCTAAAATTTTCTACTATTTGAAAAAATTATAAAAATTCATACTATCTCCTATTTTCGGATACATCACTTTAAGCGATGTACCGAGGCGTACGCAATATATTGGCACGTGGAGTGGTGCATCCAAAACAGAGACATGATGTATCAGAACATTAAGGGATGTATCCGAGACCGAAACACGATGTATAAAAATAGTCTTGAAATATATTCGTGTTCCACCAAATTTAAGAGATTTCTGTAATTTAGAAAAGAATAGGGATAAAATATAATTAACTCTAAGCACTATGAAATTTATGTAAAAACTTCCATAATAATATATCCAATAAATTTAATGAGAATAGAATATAGACACATTTTACTATTATCTCATTAATATAAAATTAAAAAATCTGATTATTAACTCGAATACGACAAATCAAAATAGGTATAAAAACCAAAATGCACAATTGGGTCTTTGTTACACGAATCTAGAACTCACTAGGTCAGCCCGGTGGCTTCGAGTACGATAACAACTACCCACTTTTTTTAATAGTCAAATTGATTCCTCCTCTTCTACGGCATACATTTCTCATAAAAAATTATACTTATTTAATCTTTGGTACCATGAACTTCTTTTTCTTTTTCTAGTTTTCTTTCGAAGTTTTGTTATACGTATTAAAATTCAATTAAATTTAAATTTGTGTAATTATAGAAACTATTTTTCTTAAAAGAAAATGCTCCTAATAATATTAAATATTACATCAGGTCATTGAATACCACGTATTAAGAAAAAATCAAAAGTGTGTTGTTTGTGTTCGTTTTGTTAAAAATTATTTATTTCTAGAAACCCTTTTTTTAAATGACTTTTTAAAAAGTGATTTTGAAAAAAAAATTGTGTTTGGCTAAAAAATTTTAAAATGTATTTTTAAGAGTCAAATTACGAAAAGAATAAGTATCAATGTGCTTTTAATATTAATATTATTTTATAGAGAGAAATTATTTTAATTATCTATTGCAAAAATTTTATTTAAGATTTTATTTTAATTAAATACTTATAAATTTTAAAACCATTCCACAAATTAAACCACTATACGAAAAAATCAAAAAATCACTACAAAAATAAATAAAGTCATTCATATTTTTAATCCTATAAAAATATTGTTGTTACCTTTATTTCTAGTTTTATAAAAGAAAAAGTAAAATAACATATAAAACTCTTGAATGAAACTTAATGAGATAATTAATTAGTAAAGGATATATTGGTAAATATGTATATATGAAAGGGATAGTCTAGTTCTCAAATAAATAATTTTTTGCTTCTCCTTTTTTTAAGAAATAGAAATTTTTAGCTTCTTCCCAACAACAGAAAACCGTTTCTACTTCTATTTAAAGCTAGATGTAAGGATTTATCAAACACTTGATTATTTATTTTTTTTAAATAAAATACTTTTGATCTTCCAATAACAATGTCAAACAGACTCTTAGTTATTTAGCATTGATTATTTGTATATATAATAATTTGTCATAAATTAACAGTTAAGTTTTACGTTGGCATCCAATGTATTGACATCCTCATATTTTATTCACACTAAGTAGATGTTTGGTCATTTCTAATATTTTTGCTTTTTAAAAATTTATGAAATTAAAGTTCAAAATGTAATTATTTTTAATCATTTTTATAACGATAATTTAGAATAATATACATACTTGAATATATTTAATTATAACTTTAAAAATAAATATTAATTAAAAAATGGCCAATTGCCAATAGCTTAATTAAAAAGAAAGTTATAAGTTATTTTTTTTAATTTAAAATATAATTTCGAATTGAATTTGAATTTTATGACCAACCATTAATTTTCAAATGAAATAAAAAATCATTCCAAGGAAAGTGTAGTAGAATAATTTTTATGGAACTATCAACGTGTGAATTGACAATATTCAAAATAATTTTATTAGATTGTCAATTAATTTTATCTTACTTATTCCATCAAAACTAATGTGCAACTTTTTATAATTAAAAAGTCACTCAATTTTATTTGAGCATAATAAAAGCTAGTATTAAACTATTCTTTTAAAACAAAAAATCACTCACCACATTTTCCTCATAATTACATTTCACTTTACCAAAATTAAATCAAATAAAAGATCTTATAATCCAAACTTCCGAATACCCACAAGTGTCCATTCTTTTGTAAAATTATTCACCAATGAATTATGCAATTGAAAATACTGAACATGATCATATAGATCACAATTTCAAAATCATTTTGTAACTTGCTAAAATAGTTATTAAGGACTTAACCATTTTCTTAAAAGAGCTAGTCAATTTAAATACCAAACTTCCTTTTTATTTAATCATGAGATAAGAATACAAGTCAACATCTAGATAATATCAACTTGTCAAAATCAAACATATACTACCAAAATAGTAAGGGAAACACCTCCAGATCAGCTTCCAAAGTATTGTATGTTCCTCGACCCATAAGTAATAATCCATTAAAATAGCGGAGCCAGAAATTCAATAAAGGGTATATATATTTTTTGTGTTACGAACATGCAAAAAAAGATATACATGATAATGATAATAATAATAATAATAATAATTTAATTTAATTTTTATACCCTACATAATTTTCAACAAAAAATATATAACAAATTAATCTTCGCCTAAAATGGCTCCGCTCATATTTTGTATTGAGAACCATTGGATCTTTTCCAGTCCCATACATCTAATGATACAAATTTCAAAGACAATTGAACTTGTATAGTTGTCATTCAAAAATAAAGTTAGAATGGTAAGTTTATAGATTTTGGATTTTAAAAATAAAAAATTATCAAATATTTAATAAATTATTTTTATATATTTAATAAATTCAATATAACAAACAAAATACGTAAACTTGCAGTAAAAATGCTAACTCCTCTTTCATTTTATTGAAAAAAAATTTAACAATTGATTTGATGTAATTTAATTTGGATCTCTATTTAAAATTTTATTAGAGGTCATAGAGAGGAAAAAGGTAGGTGATAAACACCAAAATAAGATAGAAATTTTAAGGGTTTTAGGCCACATGACATATGTGGATTTGAGATAATGATAGTTGTAGACAAAATATTTATGGTATAGCGGTTGACATGTAAGTGATTAACTGTGGTGGTTGATAGTAATTGATAATTAATTAACAATCGAATGATACAAATAACTAATGACCATAAAAAATGTTAATGACAATTAGCTATATTGATTACAATGCATACATTAAGAATATATATATACCAAAACTAATAGGAGTACTTATTATTTTCACTTATACACCTATCAAGACCCCTGCCTGTTTCTTACACATCAATCAAATTTGTTTAATAATTTATGATTTAGTTGTACAAATTTCAGCCATACAATACACCTAAACTCATTAAACACAAGATTGTCCAAACAAAATCACCACTCTTAAATATAATAAATTTATTACAGAAAATAAAATATATTAAAAATAATTATAATTAATAACAAAAATAAATTTAAAATCAATCAATAAATTATTTTTTAATTATCTAAACTAGACAAGTAAAAATATTTAATTTTAGTGCAAGGTAGAGAGGGTATTGTAATACGCCATTTGATTCATATTAAGTAAATTAGTGATATTCTTTTCATAATTCAAAATAAGTAAATTATTTAAAATTTAAAAAAATTATTGATTTTTTTCTATATTTATCCTTATTTAATGAAATTCTTAATTATTTTATTTTACATAGAAGTATATTTAATTAATAATCAAAAGAAAAATGGTAAAAAATAATTTTAATTTTAATTAAATATTTTTGCTAAAAATATATCATATCTCGATAATTTACTTAATATAGACTAGACAAATTATGATATGTTATACAATTAAAGTTAACCGGATGTCCCATTAACCCCTTTACCGAAAAAAGAAAAAGAAAAAGCCCAAAACCACTGATGACAACCAGGTGGCGGTAAAAAAGTGGAAAGAAACAGACGGCTGGTCTTTCTTGATTACTCACTCGGTTTCGTAATCATCTTAAGTTATTCCATACTCACTTCGTTTAAAAAAGAATTACTTCCTTTTTTTTTAGTCTGTTTAAAAAAGAATGACATTTTTCATTTTTTGGTAACATTTTAATTTCAGCTTTCTACGTGACATGTTTAAGACCACACGATTAAATGACAATTTTGTACATTTGACATAACTTTAATTTATGACCATAAGATTCAAAAGTCTTCTTTATTTTCTTAAACTTCGTATCAAGTCAAACTAGACCATTCTTTTTAAAACGGAGGGATTATTAATTGTCTATCTTATTAAATTAAAAAAATATTAATTAAGTTTTTTTATTTTTGCAATTAATTTTTTAAAAAAGTAGTTATATTTATTTATTTATAAGATAAGATTCTCAAGAAACTTTTTAAGAAATAAACTAATAAAATTATCTTTTTGCTTATGAAGTAATATAAGACGGAGGAAGTAGCTTTCATTACACGCGCCTCACAATCTGATTTAATATATGAACAAAATTGGTCCAAGTTCATCCAAATCTCAATTCCTCAAAAATCATTCACCACAACCACAACCACAACAATACTCCAAAAAACTCTTTTCTTGTATACCTTTTTTCTCAAAATTCATTACAAAACTCCCTTTTTCCAAGTTGTTAGCTTTTTGAGAAAAACCCATCTTTTGGTTTAAGTGAGAGATGCTGCACTTGTTCTTTGCAGTGGCGTTTTCTGCAGTGCCTTTGACTCTGTATATACCTCCGATGAGAAGCTTGAATCTTTTTGTGGAAACTATGGAGGATCTTTGTAGGGAATCAAGTGTTTATACAGGAAGGATGTACCCAAGGATACGACATGCTTGGGCTAGGTTCTTGAATTGTATGTTTTGTGTCACTACAAGGTAGATTATTCAAGATTCACTAAACTTGAAGCCCTCTGTAAATAATATGTTTTGGTTTAAGAGTTTTTTTTTTTTCAATTTTCAAGTTTCAGCCTAGGATAACTCTGGGTTTGTGGATTGTTTGGTGGGTTCTCTCTGCAAGACCTTTTTTTTGTTTCAGAGATTTGATGGTTCATGTTAAATCAAAGTGCATTAATAAAAAAGGGTTATAATAGGTTGCAATTTTTTCTGTTTCTATGCATTAATTCAATTAGTTTTTAATGTTTCAAGATTAATGGTTTTGGATTTAGTTTTGTTAGACTGGGGTTTATGAGATCTGAATATTGCTGTTTTGGTTATCATTGTTCCAAGAGAATTATTTCCAAGTTAAAAAGATGAGGACTCCTTTTCTGCTGTGGGGTTCTTTTTGGTGGTCCATCATGATAGGAGATGGAGATAAAGCTGAAAGCTGTGTTTAGGTTCCCATGGCAAGAATCAATCACAATCTTTTCTGATCTTATCTTTCTAATAATAGTATATTAGAAAGATAAGCATATTCCAATGAACAATAAAATGATAATGTTATTTAATATTCTGGACTTTTGAACTGTTTTCTTACAACTTATTGTCCTCAAAGAAATGGGGGTAAACTCATAAGATTGATTGAGTGTATCAGAAACTATAAAGAATGAAAGAATATGGAAAAGCAAAATGACACTTTTAAGTATGGAAGGAGTAAGCACTTCATGAAATGTTTTCAGCTAGCAAGTGTGCAAGGCTTCAAGAACCAGAAAACATCCAAAGCTCTTGCAGCTTCTTTTTCAGCAACAATAGCAGCACCTCTCTGTCCTTGTTGATTATTATTACTAGTCATCATCTTCCCTGGATCTTCCTTTCTCTTCCCTTCATTGCTGCTTTGTTCCAGTTCTTGAAGGATCCCCCTTGTCTCCTAATGTTTATTTCATACAAATTCAGTGTTATTAGTCCCAGGATTATTTTGACCAACAGTTCAAAACATTAAAAATACTCTTTACTTTTTTATCAGAACAAGCTAGTGGTGGTAACAACAGAATAAGCCATGTCTTAATGATCTAAAATAGTGCTGATTCTAGCCCAAGCTCAGCTCAAATATCATATGAAATCGAATCTTGAGGATTAGTTGGTTGTAGCTAAAATTGCAGACTGCACTGCACTGAAACTTTACAGAAATAGACCCTTGGCCTAGTCTTAACTCGACATGATAAGTTAGCTCATAAGGTATTGCAAGGAGATAATGGACCAAACACATCACAACAAGTAGAAAATAACAGTTCATAATGATGGACTCTGTAGCATAGAGGGTATTGTGTTAGTGAGGCTGAAAATTTCTGAACAAGTATCACTATGCACAAAGTGAGAAGATCACAGGCTACTACTGTCTGCGAGTCTTGAACTGCAAAATTCAATAAGGTTTACACATACCAGAGGCCTAGATTTCAAAGGTTTAGATGGAGCGGCCTTTGTAACTCCCCGGCTGGCTGAGAAACACTGAGGAGTGGGAGGATTTGTGCGGATTTGAGACAAGATCTCTTCATCTCTGCGCTTAATGTTCTTCACATCCACAAGTATTGGTGTGTTTTCTGCATTATCATTTCTCCTGCATAGATAGAGTTCACCAACAGTTATACTCAGTACCTCTAATAATGTATTTGCTTGGCCAATTGTTTCATTTGGGTAACTATTCAACTATAAGCTATGCGTTCAACTGAAACTAGTATTTTCTATGCAAAAAATTGGCTGCCTAAATAAAGTATGTGATGTAAAACTTACAGTTTCCTTCTCTGTTTCTCCTTAGTGTTGCTCTTTGCCACTAGTTCATTAGTTTCTTTAGTCATCTCCAGCAATGGCTTCCTTTCCCTTTCTTTATCATCAACAATTAGTGGCAAGTTCTCATCTGCACATTTCTCTCTCTCTTTAGTCCTGGTAACTACCAGTCTCTTCAGCTCATTGCAAAACTCAGACACCTTGTTCAACAAATCCCCACCAGCAAAAAGATTCCTAGCTGAAAGAGTACTTTTCAGCTTTGGTATATGTTCCTCTTTTTCATCAACTGGCTTCTTCTCCGCGCTCGACTTGATTGTTTGTTTCATCAATTTAGCCTTGAAGAACCTTGGAGGGGTTGCAAAATTGGGATTCTGATTTTCACTATCTTCAACAATCTTATCACATTTCAAGTCTTTATTCAATGATATCAGCGGTTGAATTAGCCCTCTCTTCTTCAATGTTGCATCTCTGAAATTGAAAACACCATTTATTTCATAATCTTGTCCAAATAAAATTCAGGTAGAATCGATTGCATAATAAAAGACTGGATTTTTTCTTCCATTTGTTATACCTCCTATTTCGTTCCCCAAGAGGAATATCAGATACACTAGCTGATCTTTGAAGCTGTAAAATCACAACAAAAATTTAGCAAGCAAAATTTGTCAAATAACAGAGCAAATCTTTGATTCTCAAGAAACTAACCATTACCCACATGAATTTAGAACAGAGTACTCTTAAAACTAGCAAAAACACTCAAATTACAATACCCCACTTGTGGGATTTTCAAAAATAGGAAGAAAGCACAAACCTTCGAAGAGGAGGAAGGGGTAGCTACTTTATAGAAATCTTCCAGAGTCTTTGGATGATTACACTCTGTTCTCCAAAACAAGAAGAAGTTAAACAGAAAATCCCCAAAATGAAGTAAAATTAAGAATCAAAATTTACCAGGTCTGCAGAACCAAGCATCATCATCAACAGGAGCATCGGGGGCGAAAAAATCAACCCATTGAGGAGCTTTAAAATGCTCATAAAGATCGTCTTTAACAAATCTTGAATCAATGGTTTTCCAATCAATGACAGCTATCTCCATGAAGCTCTTCTGCTTCTTGAACAATGAACAGAGTATGTACAAAACCCAGATAAAATTTCGAGAAATAAAAATGAATTCACAGGTGAAAATGCAACGTTTCTTTGTTGTTGAAGGAGCTGACAACAAAGAGAATTTAACAAGACCGTTGGGATTTAAGGCTTTTCCAGGTTTTTTATTTTTTGTTTTATTTATTTCTTTTTTGACCGTTAGAGATTTTTCTCATTTATTTATTTATTATTTATTTTGCTGAGTTTTTAATCCATGGGAATTAACTACAGATCTAACTACAAGACAATGGTCTAAAACGTATTTACTTGTGGATCTAGTGTGTGGTACGGCGATGCAAAATATTTTTTTTAGAAAAATAAATTTTAAAAATGACTTTTTTTTTATTGTAGTGAAAATAAATTATGTAAGTAACTTTCAAGTTCATTGTTTCATCTCCACGCACCCAACGTCTCCAAATCTCATTTCTTGACTATTTCGCCCTCCATCCCATTCCATCCTCATAATGTTTTACTAGCTTACATATTACTAATACTTTTGAAATATTTTTTTTTTACTTAACAAACACTAAAAGATAATAAGGAATCCAATTATTTTTCAAGAAAATATTTTTTGTGAAAATGTTTTCCTTCGTAACAAACACATCTAAGTTTCAAATCAACTTATATCACTGTATCTCCAACTAATCTTAATATACTTATTATAGTGCAAAACATAACTTTGAAAATAAAATATATTGCAAATTAATGACTATATTTAAGGCAATATCATTATACAAATACTCATAGATGGTTGTCATCATGAGTTGTGAACACAACCTTTCAACTAACATATATATATTTCTCAATCAATTCACTCTTTGTAAGCCTACTTTATTCACCGATTTAAAATTCAACCTATTGGGAATTCTATCATTATTAGTAGTTGATTTGTCGCTTTATTGACCATTGAACATATAAATTTAATAAATTATTATCTTTATGAGTGTTGTCTTTCAACAAATACTTTTTATCATAAAAATATTGAAAAGTCAAAATCTTCAAGTAAAATTCAATCAGGAAAGAAAATAACACTATATTTTTAGTGATATCCTTTCACGAAATCAAAGAACACAACTTTTAGTGAAAAAATATATGATCAATCATCAATGAGTAGTTCAATCAATTAGTATGTGAAGATTTCACTTACTACCATTTCCTAAAAAATTATTCCTCAATTTAAATTTGTGTGTGAAAAGGAAAGATAATAATACTAAATAGTTTATGTTATATAATAAGAAGTAGAAAAAAGATTGTGTGTTCGAAGTAGAAAAAACAATTTGAGTCCACAAGTGGATTGTATATAATTGAAAAACGTTTCTATGATAGTGGTAAACTGGTAATGCAAATTACAGAATTTCGAAGAACTCAAATATCAAAGCAAATCATACTATATTTACGTTTTGTTTGAAAACAATGCACTAAGAAGACAAGAATAATTTTAGATTTTTAGTATATTCAATATATAAAATTCAAGCTACTTCTATCTAATACATAAAGTTAATGCATGCATTAATTTTGCTAATACACTCTACCAAACATTACTAATATATTCTATTTATCATTATTCTTATACACTCTACCAAATGATCCCTAAATTTATAGACCGTAAAAAGGTGAAATTGAGAAATGCAATCTAAAAGGTAGAGGTGTACATAACCGGATTGGTTCGGGTTTTTCAAATATCAAACCAAATCATTTGTGTAAAAAAAATTAATTTATAAACCAAACCAAACTAATAAAATTCAGATTTTTTCGAGTTTTTCAAATATCAAACCAAACCATTGTGTCGAATTTTTAAATTTATAAATCAAACCAAACTAATAAACCTTAGATTTTTTCGGTAAAGTTTGCATACAAACATATAATTAACTTGTGCACCAAATATTTTTTTAGTCCAACCAAAATACAATTATCTAAGGTGTTTCTTAAGAAAATAACACAAAATATGAGATGAGTACTGATGACACTAAAATATTTAATAAAAAATAATAATGAAATCATCATATAAAATAAATATTGCAAAGTCATAATGAAAATAATCATAATTTAAAAGTACTAAATCATGCTAAAATAAGTTTAATAAGTATTAGTTACATTACTAAATATTTAAGGAAAATTAAAATTAGATTATGTATTTTAATTGTCTAAACCAATGTAAAACTAAAGAACAAATATTCAATATTATTGTCATTCTTAGTGTTGAATTGATTTTCTTTTTGCATTAGTATTAATTTGATTTTGATTTAAGTTTTATTATAATTATCAACATCTATGAACTATAATCTTTATTGGACCATTCAAAATTACATATATAATGTCGGGTTAGTTTGGTCTCGGGTTGATTTTTTAAAGTTAAAACCAAACCAACCCAAATATAATCGGGTTTTTTTTCCAATACCAAACCAAGTCAAACCAAACCACTAGTCAGATTTTCTTTTTTGATTTGACTCGGTTTACAATTTGGTTCGGTTTTCAGTTCGATTTTGTACACCCCTACTAAAAGGAGTTTTTTTTTTTTTCTCATTTTCCATTCCCACCTTATAACATTCATGCCTCCGCATAAACTTTAACCTACCTTACCCGTTCAACACCTTCCATCCGTCCGACTCTATTGCCATCCCTAATCATCTCAATTTTTTTGACTCCATTTTGAAGACAAAGACAAGACGTCCAGTGTCTAATTTAGAGTTATTTCTTTTATTTTACATACTAATAAATTGGTCCTTTAGTTATCTAGTTATGATGAAGAAAACGATATTATTTAGAAGATAAATAAAATGTTAAAACTCTTGTTTTATTTCTTTTACAATTTAAAAATTTAAAAATATTAAGTGGCATTGAAAAAATGAAGAGAAATTAAAATATTTTTTTAGTTAGAAATGTCATATTTAAAGCAATAACATTCTCCTTAACTACCTCTGTACCTATCATCTCCACTTTTGACTCCACTGTTAGAGGCAAGAGAAAGACTCTCTCTTCTCTACATCTTACTTAAAAAGCAACCCATAATTCCCAAAAACTTAATCTCATTAATCAGGTACTAACCTTTTCTTTATTTTCTCTTTTAAAAAAAGTTAACTTATATTTACATTCTTCAAAGGTAGAATTTGTTTAAGTTTATTCCATTTTGTTTTGTTTTTAGATGATTGTTTCTTTTTATGTGATATATGTGTGTTATATGATAATTATTTGGAATAAGTTTTGAATCTAATTTCACCTTTGTCACACTTGTTTTATGAAATTGAAATGTATATAAGATCATGTCAAAGTGATTTTTAGCATTTGAACAATTGTATATATATATACTAGACATACATACTAGTGTAACCCCACGAGTGGACTCTGAGAGGATACGATGTATGCATACCTTATTTGTTATCTTTGTGGGGTAGAGAGAAACTGTTTTTTATAGACTCTGAGCTCAAAATAAATATTTGTGAACCAGGATTAATGTAACTCTGACAAAATAATAATAATTCCTTTTTGAATGATTATACTGATGTAGTGTATGTATACGTATTTGCTTGAATTTCCATTTTAAAATGTTTTATAAGTTTTTTTTTTTTTTTGCTGCAATATGAAGTATCGGAAGGTAGAATATGAAAAAAAAAAGTTGTTATTGGATATTGATCTGTTGCTTAACATTATTTTCTTTTGTTGAAATTGGTTTGTGAAACTAAAATAGAACCGATGTTGTTGCTATAATCAGTTTTGAGCATTAGCCTGAATTAATTATGGTGCAGATCATATTTTTTTTGGTTCTATAATGTTAAATTTTTTTGAATTCAAATGGAGAAATATGGTTCGTGAGGATTCTCTGAAGGTTTTTGGCTCCTTCTTTCCGAATAAATTTTGTGAAGAGAGAACATAATTATGGATGTCTAGTAATTGTAAGGAAAAAGCTATGTTTGTTGCAATATCATTTACATGTTTGCATTTGTCGTTGTATAGAGACAGAGATGACGATTGATCAGCCACAATACCCCTCTGTTACTCACAAGGTAGGTGGGAACTTCCTTGTTAGATCTACCCAAAATCGAGATCTTATGGCATACCAAAGGCAATATAAATATGGAAATCAGACTAAGCCCTGGTTGCATAGATGTGAAGGGAAATATGACATGCCCGTGGTTTCATCTTACTCATCGCCAGTTTTCGTCCAAGCTCCTTCAGAGAAAGGCTTTTCCAGCTTTGCAATTGATTTTCTTATGGGTGGTGTCTCAGCAGCTGTTTCAAAGACAGCAGCTGCTCCAATTGAGCGTGTGAAACTCCTGATCCAAAATCAGGATGAGATGATCAAGGCTGGGAGGTTATCTAAACCATACGGTGGCATAGCTGAATGTTTTAGCCGAACAATGAAGGAGGAAGGAGTTATGGCTTTGTGGAGAGGCAACACAGCAAACGTTATTCGTTATTTCCCAACTCAGGTTCGTTCTTTTCTCAGACAAAATCAATCATTTCGTTGATCTCGTGGTATATATTTCTCTTTCGCTTTTTGTACAGGCCTTGAATTTTGCGTTTAAGGATTACTTCAAGAGGCTTTTTAACTTCAAAAAGGATAGGGACGGTTACTGGAAATGGTTCGCTGGTAACCTTGCATCAGGAGGTGCAGCTGGTGCATCTTCCCTTTTCTTTGTCTATTCTCTTGACTATGCCCGAACGAGGCTAGCAAATGATGCTAAGGCTGCAAAAGGAGGAGGAGATCGACAGTTCAATGGTATGGTTGATGTTTACAAGAAGACATTAGCATCTGATGGAGTTGCTGGACTGTACCGTGGATTCAACATCTCATGTGTTGGAATCATTGTGTACCGTGGTCTCTACTTTGGTTTATATGATTCTTTGAAGCCGGTTGTCCTCACTGGGTCGCTACAGGTAATGCTGCATCAGTACTAACTAACTACACATTGTCAAATTTTATTTTGTGCAAACTCTCCATGATGATCTTCTTGTTTAAGTTTGGTACTGGATGTCTAAAACATATGCCTTCAATACTGTTGAGTGTTGATTCATTTGGAAATTGTCATTGAGCATTTCTAGTCATACGGGAAAAGTATTCAAATGTCATGGCAAGTCCATACTCATTTGACTCCTCGTGGAG